AAAGTTTATTGAAAAATAATTTAAAGAAAAAAGAAAACGCAAAATACAGCAAAAAGGGAATATTGGAAAAAATCTTTTTTTTTTTTTTGCTTCGTGAATTTTTGTGAGATAAAAAATGATTCCAATGTAATCTTTCTGCTTTTGATGGCAAGTGGGAAAATAATATGAAGGGTAGTAGTGTGTATGTGTGTGTAGGTGAGTGAGTGATCGATTTGCGGTGTGCGGGTATAATATTGGCTGTTCATTATTCCCCTATTCTCAAATAGCATACGCCCGTCACTCAATCTTAAGCCTTTCATGTTTCGTGTTGTCTTAAAGGCGTTCACTCTGATTAAGTAGACACAACTTGTCCACCATCATCTTTGATATAACACTAGAGTGCCCGCACATCCCTTATATTATTACACAAGTTCATAAGCCACGCTCTGTAATTAATTAAAAGTTTTGCTGGAAAATTAATCAAACTATAATTTCTCAATGAATTGCGCTTCAGTCGTTCACGCGATACTTGAATTTATATTTCATTCAATTTCTAATTTACGGTTCAATTTTCTAAATTTATTATTTAATAATTCGATTTTATATATTTAGAAAAAAGAATAATAAGTAATTATAAAATTAGGGCGTGTCTTTTATTTCTTTATTGACATTAAATGATTTTTGTCACGTTTTTAATAAATTTATTATCAAACTAATTATTAATTATTAATCAACTAATTACTTATTTAGTGTTCTAAATGCCATTGAAAAATGTTCTTTTTTCATGATTTCAAAATAAAAAATAATAATGATAATAATAACAATAATAAATGTTTATAAATTATATTTGTCAATTAGAAAATTTAATTAAAAAGGAAACTGAAAATTTTTGAATTTTTAGAAAATAGAGAAAAAAATTGTATTGAAAGAAATGTTCTGTTAAATTTATTTACGAATATCTTTAATTAAATTAAATTAAATTAAATTAAATTAAATTTTATTCAATTATTTAAATACAAAAATAAATTATTTATTGAATAATTGAATGTTTCTTAAAATTTAATTTTTATAAAGAATTTTATTAACAAATTTTTAAATAATTGTATTTTTTTGACGAATTTTAATAAAATTTTTTAGAATAGTTACATTTTCCAAGGAGTTCGATTAAAATTGTATGAAAAATAATTGAAATTCTGTAATGAGTTTTATTATTTCTAAAAATAATTGAACTATTGAGAAGAAACTTATAACAAAGTAAATATTTGAATTCATGTGAAATTTTTATTATTTATGAAAATAATTAAATGTTTGCGTACAATTTTATTAAAATTTGTTTTTAAATAATTGAATTCTTTTGGGTGAATTTTATTAAAGTAGTAGATATTAAAAATTATTAAAATGAGGAAAATTTTTGAAAATAATTGAAATTTTGGCAAGAATTTTAATAAAAGTTTTGAAAATAATTGAATTTTGAAGAAGAATTTTTTTATTTATAAAGATAATAATTGGGATTTTGTCGAGACTTTCTTGTAAATTTTGAACATAATTGAATTTCTGCAATCATTTGTAACTTCTTCAAAATTCAATTTTTTTAGTGTTTTTAACTAAAATTCTTCTATAAATCCATTATTTTTAATAATTAATTAAATTTTGAATTATTAAAATTTTTTAAAAATGTAAGTTCATTTACTTATTTATGAAAATTGTAAACGCAACTCTTTTAAAATTGAATTAATTTTGAAAGATTTAAGTAAAATATTATTCACTAAATAATTTATTTATTTTATGATAGTTGTTTAAGATTTAAGATATTTAAAAATAAATTTTTGTCAGAAATTTGAAAAAATTGAAGGTTTTATATTAGAATTCGTGGTAATTTTATAGTTTATAACTGAAACAAAAAAAGACACAAAAATTCATAATTTTTTTATGATATGAAAAATATTTTGAAATAGAACAAATACAGATTTCAACTTTTTAACAATGATTGATTAAAAGTATATTAAATAAATAAATAAATATTTTTTATATATTTTATGAAATACATTATTTATTAATATAATTATATGTATAAGTTGTAAATCAGTTGGCTATTTTTTATTTTTCTCACGTTTCTGATAATTTATGTACTTTTGAAATTTACTTGTTTACTTATACGAAAAATTCAATGGCTCGGAGGTAAACTTGAAGTTTCTGTTATTTGAAGAACTTTGAATATAGTTAATATTCCAGATTTTCTTGGCAAACAATCGCATGTCTCTGTGTATTCAACAAATAATATTATATTCTTAAAAGATAATTCATTTTATCCGCATTACTTACAATTATAACTCAATTAGTTTCAGTAAAACCAATTTTTTCCATAACATTGACAGATTTTTAGTAGTAAATTATCGCTTTTGTCGGACAATATAAATATTCTTCTTTGGGATTTTGTATTTAGACAGATATTTCCAATTTTAGTAGTAATGACAAATTTTAGTCATACAGTAAATTTTATTTTTATTTATTTTCAGTTTCAGGAGTAAAGTAAGGTTTCAGTCAAACAAAATGTTTTTTAATCAGAAACAGTTTTCAGTTAAATTTTAGTAACTGTTGTATAAGTCAGTTTTAGTCCTTCAAATCAGGTTTTTAGTTTTCAATTTTCAATTTTCAATTTTCAATTTTAGTCGTAAAAAATTATAATTAAAAATCAATTTTTTGGCATATTTTTAGTTTTAAATTGAAGAATATTAAAAAAAGTTTTAATATAGGAAAAAATAAATTTATTTTTCGAATTTATTTTTCGTGTCAGTAGTAAAAAAAAAGCTTCTGTCAGACGAAAGTAACTTTATTCGAATATATTTTCAGTTTCAGTGCTAAAGAAAAATTTTCATCAGACAGAATAAATTTGATTTCCATGTATTTTCTGTTTCAGTAGTAAAAATATATTTTCATCAGACAGAATAAATTTTATTTGCATATATTTTAAGTTTCAGTTAGAAAAAATAGTTTTTAACTTTTTTTTAGTTTTTAACTATTTTTTAGTTTTAAACTTCTTAATTAATTTTAATATAAGTAATATAAAGTAATTTTTGTCCGACAAACCAAATTAATTCTACGGACAGTAGTAAAAACCCCATTTAGTCAGACATGCTTTTCCATTTTGAACTTTTAGTATCAGAAGTAAAAGCCAAATGGCTTTATGTTACGTATTAACAGTGGTAGGAGTCGTTTTTAGTAAGATAGTGTAATTATAATTGTCATTTTAATATAACAAGTAGTAATAGAACTTTTATATCTTACAAAGTAGACTAATTTTCAATCGAAAAGAAGATCAGTAGTTGCAAAAAATTCTCCGCCAGACAGAGTATTTTCTGATCTTATATCGCGCAGTATCAGTAGTAAAGGTCCGTCACAGTCAGACACGTTTTTGTCATTTATTTTTATGTTCTACCTTTCACTATATAAGTGGAAAAGTCAATTTTCACTCAGAAAGGTAAAATGTATGAAAAAATATATATCTACATCAATAGTGGAAAATTTTATTTAAAAAATAAACAAAACTTTATAAACTTTCTTTGACGAAAATGGTTTTTTATCCTAATGAAATTTTATTAATATGAAAAAAACAATTTTTGGTTTTTTTATTCTAAGAAATTTTATTAGTATAAAAAAAAACAATTTTCTTCATACGAAGAACTTTAATTCCTTTTTAGTATCTACTTTTCCATATGTAATATATTCCCAAAAAAAAAAAAATTACAGATTTCCTTTTTACGAAAGGGATGAAAAGTTATTTTCTAGAAATGAATAGATTTAAATATAAATGCGTGATAATATTTTCAAAAATGATAAGTGTCCCATTTGAGGGACAGTAAAAAAAAATTTTTTTTTCCCTATCGTACCTGAATGTAAAATACGGCACATTCTCTTTTAACTGACAGCTCCATATATGAATAAGTACTTAATAAAAAAAATGACATGAGAGCTTCTTCTCTCTCACTCTTTCTATATGTATGAAATTGAAAACGTCCTTTTTACGATCCAAATGGGAGAATTTTGTCTTTTTTCCAGTCGTTACTCTCCTGAAATGATGAGAGATCAATTGATCTAGAAACCTCTATTATACGCAAACATATAAAAAAAAGCCATCTTATTGCCGATGAAAAAAAATTTTAACTACTTTTTATATGATTTACGAGCCTATCGATTCGATTTTCTTTTTTACATTCAATATTTTATTTTACAAACACATATCACAAATAAAAAGCCATTTAAGCCATTGTAAAATAAAAATTTATTTCTTTTTCTATTTGTGAAAAAAAGTCACGTTTCTTGAACTATTTTTGAAAAAGAGAAAAAAGCATCACAACGATGACCATCGTAGATTACAATACAGTTTAAAGTGCGTTCGGGAAAAGAGAATTTTTTTTAATTTAAAAAATATTATTTATTTAAAAAAATATTTAATTCAATATAGTTTATATATTTTTTGCTTTATTTGTTTAAACATCTGTTTTATGCCTCACACCAATAACTTCTTTTTATTCAAAATATTCTTTTATTTCAAACAGTTTTTTAATTTAAAAATTATTCTTTTATTTCAAATACTTTTTTAATATTTTAATTTTAAAATAATTCTTTGAATTTAAAGAGTATTTTTTATTCATAAGAGCATTTTTAATTTTAAAAAGTTTTGCAATATTTAACACAGTTTTTAATTTAAAAGAGTTTTTTAAATTAAATCAAATTTTTTTTTCTAACAGTTTTTTTTTAAGTTAAAAGAATTTTTTTTTCGCATTTATTGAAATTATACAAAAATTTATCATTAAGTCGTTATTTTTAAGAAACAGAATAATATAAATTAAATATTTCTTTTTTCCATATAAACTAGATTTATAAGATGTAGCATAAGTAAACTAACAAAAAAAAAAAAAGTTTTCAAGATGACATTTTTTTGCGAAGAGAATTTTAATCAGAAAATGGAGTACGCGTTTCCATTGTCAGAATCTGATAATGATACATTGTGTCTTTTTCAGGACATATCGGAGTACAAATGCGAGAGTGGAAAATCTCCCCTGTATGTTCCACATAAGCCAGTGACTGGTGTTATTGGAGCTTCTTTTAGTGGGGTTTCCATTATGGTCGCCAATATTCTCAGACTCTTTAAGGTAAATGACAATTTTTTCAACTAATTTTTCATAACCATTTATTTTTTCTCTGTGGTATAAAATCAAAAAATTAATTTTAAATAAAAAAATCTTTTTTCTTAATTTTTATCAAATATATTATTATTATTATTATTATTATTATTATTATTATTATTATTATTATTATTATAATTAATAATAAAAATTAAAAATAATCATATAGGGTAAATGCACTAGTAGTCGGACACTTAAGGATACAATCTTAAATTATGCTTTTTTTCTTGAAATAGCAAATATCTACTGTGTTTATAAGCACATTATTAATTAAAGGAGTTCTTCAGGATTAAAAATCATATAAATTTGTTACAAATAGTTGAGTATTTAATAAAATATAAACATTTTAATAAAAAATTACGAATGCTTTAGTAGTCGGACACTTTTTCCCCTTGTTTCTATAGTCGGACATCTGTCAGATATTTTGGATTTATAAAGTAAAATAGATAATTTTTTAATTGCTATCTGCTGGAAAATGGAATTAAAGCAAATTAGAAATTATTAATACAATATTTAAACCCTATAAGTTTTAATATTTATGATTAATTATCAACAAAACTTTGTGCCACTCATCGCGCTACTCGAAAATGGTTGTATCTATAGTCGGACACCATGATTTTTAAAACATTAAATAAAATATTTCTTGTTTAATTATTTTCGAAAATAACACTATTTTAATAAAATATAAACTTCACACATTCGTCTAGTATACTTTTTAAAGCAATTATCACAATGCATTATTATTTATTTGTCAAAAAACACGAAAGTGTCCGACTACTAGTACTGTCCGACTATACCCGCACTTACCCTATATATTTTAAATATAATAAAAGAAACAAAACTATAAATAAAAGTAATAAAGTTTTTTTGAAACTAATTGTAAGATAAAATTGTGAAACTTTGAAATAGTTTCAATTGTAAAGCACAATTTTATTTACTTACAATACTTTTTAATTTAATAATTAATAATAATAATAATAATAATTAATAAAAATAATTAATTTAAAATACTTTTTAATTTAGGTTTAGTAGAAAAGAACAGTTTGAGTATTGAATATTGTGTTTCAGTAGTAAAGTCCAGTTGTAGTCAGACAAAACCGTTTTTTCTGTTCATTCAGTGTCAGTAGTAAAATTACAGTTTTAGTCAGCCAAAAATATTTTTTGCACCATATAATTTCAGTAGTAAAGTACAGTTTCAGTCAGACTAAATTTTATTGTATCCTTCGGTTTTAGTAGTTAAGTACAGTTTTAGTCAGACAATATTTTGTGTAGATTTAGTTTCAGTAGTTTTGTGCAATTCTAGTCAGACAAAACATTTAGGTTGCAGTAGTAAATGAAAGTTTGCGCCAGACAATTTTTTTTCGTTTTTCTTCATTTTAGTCAGACCATGTTTCTTGTGCACTTAGTTTCAGTAGTAAAATACATTTTTAGTCAGACAAAAATATTGTTTGCATTATATAATTTAAGTAGTAAAGTACATTTTTAGTCAGACAAAAGTAGTTAAGTACATTTTTAGTCAGACAATGAAACGTGTAAATAATAAATGAAAAATTACTATAAATACATAACTATATACTAATTAAATAATACATTTTTTATTATTCAAAAGAATTAGTGATAAAATAATAATAAACTCTTTTGTCAAAATAATAAAATAAATAATAATAGAAAAAATAAGTAAAATTTTCATTTGTAAAAAATATCCGAAAAAATGAAAATATTGATTTTATACCATTCAAGTGGAATATATATCTTTAAACGAAGAGTCGAATGATCTTTGAAGCGTATTGAATCTATTCCGATATACGATGTGAGTTCGCGGACCCGGAAGTGTGGATAGACGAAGCGTTAACATCCGCCCAACATCTGGAATCTGTCCAAATGTGTCAGTTTGCAAATTTCAATTCAGAATAATAATTTCTTAAAATTGTTTGCTTCCGTTATTATATACGTGGTCTTTTCCCTTCTTACCTCATTAATAATCAAAAGAAAAAGAAACAAAATTCCCTTGAAAAAAATTTATATTCCACTGACAAAACCCTGAGGCACTGACTTTAATTTCAATTTTTGTAATTCTGTACCTTTTTCCCCTTTAAAAAAAAAACAATTTTTTTATTTCATTAAAATTCATCATTTTAATATAAAAATAAAATTTGAATAAAATACATGCAGATACAATTTAATGCATATCGGGAAAAATATGAAATAAAAAATAATAAAATAAAATTATATATACTTGTTTCAAAAATTTGAAATTCATAGATGAATGCTCTTTTAATTAAACTTTTATTCCTGTTTTAATAAAATTCCGTTTGAAATCAAAGACTACACACTGGTTCATAGATTTTAACGAACCATTTTTTTTTTTTCGCCCGATGGAGGACCCAGATAGCGAGTTCAAATCGATAATCTAGAATAATTCGATTATATTCTGATTATGTAATCTTCTTTTGTTTTGCGCGTGAACCATATTTATCGGATAAAAAAAATTTATAAACGTGTATGTGCTTTTTTTACAATATTCAGAAATATTTATTTTTAAAAAATATTTATAAAAAGGTAGACGCAACAGTCAAAGTACATTCACTGTATTTATACTGAAAATTCATCTTCTGACACAATTTTTATTTATTTTGCCTTTCATTAAAAAAAAAGTTTTTTTTTTACTTCTCTCAGAACTCTGAATAAAAAATTTAATACTGGGAATTTTTATCAAAAAGTTTAAATGGAAACAAAATTTAACAATTAATTAATAGGTTAATTAACTTTTCTATTATTTAAAAAATATTGTTTCTATAGACAATAAATTCATTGTATATTCAACAGATTGCACTATAAACAGACCCGTGTTGTTTATTTTTGTTCTAAAGCAGCTATAGAAATTTAATTACTGTTAATGACTACCGTGAATATCTTTTAATTAATTTAATTAAAATAAAATTAAAATTCTAATTAAAAGTACTGTTTGTATTTATTTTCATTTTGTAAACAATAATTATGAATAAATTATTTGTAATTATTTTTTTTTTTTGGCTGTAGAATATTATTTTGTTTATGCATTAGTAATGTATTTTTTTTTCCCAACATATTGTATTTCGTTTGATGCTCAATTATTCGTTGTTAACTCCATTAGCTTAAAATTATACTCGAGAGGAGGTACTTTAAACGAAATTCGAGAGATCTGTTGACAAATTAAGCACAACATTCAGTCAACATTCAAGATATATATTCGGCTCATGTTACAAAACAAGTTTCAAAGTGTATTTCTCTCTGGAAAATTAGTTGTGACGGTTGTTTTTAAAGTTTATTGTCTATTGAAATTTTCTTTTCCCCCTCAATGTAAATTTTTTTGGGAGAAATTTTTCTTTTTATTTTATTGTAGAATTTTTTTACATGTCGAGACGTTGACTATCAATGAAAAATTGGAAAAAAGAATAAATTTTTAATTGTACAAAACTGCAAGAATTAATAATAAAGTATTAAAATTAAAAATATATTATAAATTGATTTTTAAATGGAATAAAAATTAAGAGAGCAAACATCTTTTTGAATGTATGTAAAAAGAAATTTTTTTTGAAATAATTAATTTTACATTGATTTTAAATTTTTAAGACAATTGTGAATATAAAATTCGAAGCGGAAGTAAATACAGTGAAATGTGAAACAAAACAAACATAACGATTTCGATAGTTGGCGCTGTATTACTATCCGGATTTCAGTTGATGTGAAACTTTTTTCCAACGGTAATAAAAACAGAATGAACGAAATGGGACACGAAAGTGCAATAAGCGATCTGCCAGTAAAGTAAGTGAGGAAGAGAGAGAGAGAGAAAGAGAGGCAAACTCGGGTGGAAATTATCCCATAGAATGAGTGGAGAACTCTACTTGGAAAAATACATACACGAGACATGAAGTTTAAACAGAAAATCCTCTATACTTAACTCCTGAGAGTTGCAAGAAAAAAAAATCTTAGACAGTGACGACAAAACAATTCTTTTAAAATTTTTCTTCATTCTCTCGAAGAAATAACTGTTTAAAAAAACATTTTATTTCTTAAAAAAATTCAATTTAATCTACCATGAGATAGTAGAAAAAAAAAATATTAGTGAATTACAATTTCTAAATTCTTTTCCAAGTGGAAAAGGAGAATTTTAGTCAGACAAAATTTTTTGCGATTTATTTTTATTTCTATCGCAGTGGTAAGTGACAGTTAGAGTATAGGACAAAATTGTTGTTTCTTTAATTATTCTGGCTCGAGGGAATATTTTCGAAGAATTTTATAATTAAATTAGTAGAAAACTACATTTTTAGTCAGAAATATATTTTTTTCTTCTTATATTGATATGTTGCAGTAGTAAACAAACGTTTTAGTCAGACAAGACGATTATTCTTTTATATTTACATTTAGTAGGAAATCTTAGACTTTGAATAAATTTTTTACTATTATTAGGTTAAAAATGTTTAAAAAAAATACCATTGTTATTCAATTTTTTCATATGGAAATTCACTTTGGTATTTTTTTTTGCATTTCCAACCTAAAAACAATGTTTTTTTTTTAATATAAGAAAATGCTTCAAATATTGTAAAAATTAAGTTTTTTATTCGTCAATTTTTTGTAAATACAAAAACATATTTTCTAGAAAATTGCAAATGGTTTTTAAAATCTAACAATTTTTAAGAAAAATAAAAATTCAAAAAGTGTCCAAAACATTTTTTAACTAATTTTATTTTCTAACCAATGATTTCCTATAAAGATAAAAATAATTAATAATAACTATAAAAATAATTTTATGAAAGATTTAAATCATTTTCTTAATATAGTTAAAAATGTAGACGAAGTGTTCACTTAAATTAAATAGTAAAAGGCAATTTTAACTAAATAATATTGTTGTGAACATTTAGATAAAGTAGTAAAAAAATATGTATATATATTTTATTTATTCTTAGTTTTGGTATTGAAAGACTGTT